GGTCCTTATAGCACATCAGCCTCCAGGGCCTTCAGATGCCAAGAGTTCGACCGTGTCTCACGAGATGGAGCATACTCTACGGTGCAATGTGCTGAAATGCCGCAACGAGCTGGGCGACCGCGCTCTCGTGACAACCTGCTAGTAAGTTCTTCTGGCTTGCCATGTCAGCATTGGGCGTCGACTACTAATCGATGCCCTCGCTTGATTGACAGCCACATATTCTGTGGTGATTGTGCCACCCGCCTGGGTTTGGCTAGCCAGAGACGGGACCAGCTCATTGCCTGTCCGGCTTGCGGCACACACTTGACGAACCCTGACGATGCCGTCGTCACAAACCTTAGTCCTAGCGAAGACTACAAGACCAGCGTTCTAAGCGGCCTGAATCCCAACGTCATAATTGATTGTGCCAGTCGTGCTCTCAGCTTCTGGGCCTACCAAGTTACTCAAGAGATGTATTGACCGGCTTCTAAGTCAATTTCGGCTCTATAAATGCACTGACAAGCTGGTTTAGCATCTATCAACAACATATGTCCAAGACGCTTACCGACAAGTATGCGAGCCTCAATGTCCATTTAGATAAGATTGTCAATGAAGCCAACGCTGAGATCACCAATTGCCATAATAAACTTACGAGTACAGTCCCATTTGACCCTTGCTTTGAAGGTGTGTCTCCTAACGTTCAAAAGGTGCGGAGGCCGACCGTGATGAGCTCCGTAAGAAATACGAAGAACTTCTTCACATCTGTAAACAGAAGAATAGAAAGCTTCTTCAAACCCAGGAGCTATATGATAAGCTGAAGCGGAAAGCCATGCTTGGTCAAGTCCAGGATGCAGCCGAAGATGCTGTGGAATCGACCTTACAGGTACCATCAATTGGTAGTAACGGGGCTGATTCTCAAGATCTACCCTACTCTCAGTTTGGTGATACGTATGGGCTATCTACATCTGCCCCTCACGATCAACAACGAAGCTTAGGAACCTACAACAATCCCCAGGCAAACATTGGAGCGCACGCTAGGAGCTGGTCACGAGTTCCGGGGGCTCAAGGTGAGAGGTTTGATCCATCCCTTTATGGATCTTCACTAAAAGAAGACAGGTGATATACCTATCACGCCCTCAACTCACCGGCAGCGAGTGGGTGATCCAACAAGCATTGGCTTATCTACAATCCCCGGCCTCGTTGTCGGAACATTGAGATCACCACGTAATCAATTCAACACGCTCATTTCACCAGCCAATATCTCGTCGAACCACTTTCGAGGTACCAGCGCCGCCCTCCCCACTACGCGAATGAGCTCTGGTATGAAGGCTGGACAAGGTGGCGATAGTGCCAACGGCTTTGCAGGTCCTTCCCTACTTAAAAGTAAGACGGGGTTGATTTTTGACGTCCTTTGTTGGATTGCAGGCTAATAAATACATAGCCATACAACGACCTTCTTCTCTATTGCCATTGTCCCAGAATACGTCTAATTCGACCACACAGCCGGCGAGTCTTCCGACCAGTATACGGGCCGGATGGGTACCTCACGAGCAGAAAAATTCAACCACCTGAAGCAGATGCGATAAAGGCCCAATCACTTAATGCAAGATAATTTTGATATGCGGAAAGCGTGCAATGGCCTTTGGTAACCTACTGGTCATTGTATCCTCAATGGTGCTTTACAATGCCATTGTACACTAGCTAGGAGATAATCAATGACACTTTGCTTTGTGTGCCTAGCCATACGTCTTGTCTACAAAGGCCACAAGGACTCTGTTTATGGAAACAAGACATGTCAATGACTCTCTCAGATATATAAACTGAGCACGCTGGCAAGGGTTTATCCATTTTTCTTTTCACTCTTACTAATATACAATCAGTTCAGGAGCCGCCTCCTAACAGTAACCCCTATAGGATCACGAATAAGTTCTCTCATTTTTCATCTCTTTGTATGGCAAGATGGCGTACAATGGAAATCCAGAAGCTCAATACTATAATCACCCAAATAGTCTGACGAGCGGGTTTCCTGATCAGCAGCCATCATCATCACTCCAGGCGCCGTCAGCGCGGGTCGCTGGCACCCGGAGACAGCCCAGAGAGTTCCACAAGCCTGCTGGTACTAGCCATAGTGATGAAAAAATGAAGAAGTACAACAGGGGATGCCCTCCGAGCGTTGGGTGGCTCTCGGAGGGGCCGACTACCAAGGCCAAACAAAACCTAGTGGCCGACGAAGCTGGCATTAAGCAGCCGGCATCCAAACAAGTGCCCCATCGAATCCGCCCGTGTATAGAGCGGATATCGGGACCTATTTTGCTGAATCCGAGGGAAAGACCGGGGGGCGCACCTCCGTTCGAGCCACCGGTAATCGACCCTCGGAATCTTGGCTCGGCAAGGGAGGCTTTGCACTCGCATCCTATACGACAAGTAAGCCTCACCAAAAGACGAATTCTTGAGGGCAATCAAGACACCAAGAATCAAAACCGGAAGGTTGTCGTCTGTGAAAAAGACGACGACTCCATCGTCCTTATAAGCCCCAGGCCGCCGGAAGACGTCCTTGCTAAGCGTCGGCAAGGCAGGATCTTCCCGGCGCACACTCGGGAAACCATGCTTCGGGAAGCCGAGCGTCAGGATTCCCCTGGTCCTGCGGGCAGGGAAACAAAACACGAAGAGAAAAAGGTTGGGAAATCCCCCGAAAGAGTGATTCCCGCGATAGAGGTGTCTCCGCCGTCGGATGACGAAACCCACCAAGCCGATCCAGGGCTGCTCTCTGTCGACGATGTCTACAAAAGCCTGTACAACGAGTATAAAAGAGAGAACCGCAGTCTTGCCAGGGACGTAAGGAGGCTTCAGCCACTGGCGTGGCTCGTCTCCGAGGCCGAGAGTATCAACATCAACGATACCGCGGCGCTTGCGGAAGCATTGAGGGGTATTATCGAGGACCGCCAGATGCTGATGAAGATCTTGCCTCTCGCGATTACCCTATGCGCGGACCAAGGCATCGAGTTTAATGATGCGGCGTTCGAAGCGTTGCCTGAAGCCCTGGATAAGGTTCTCCACGACAGAGAAAGAGCTCGACATGCGGCGGCGCACCATATAAGAGCTAAGTATATACTCAGATCCCGTGTGGACCAGCTTGAAAGCGAGCTCCTCGAGCTCAAAAGCGAACGTCGTAACGGGAAAGAGAATATACACGGCAGGACGACGGCATAGGTATTACGGGATCTTAGTTGACGTCTCTTGACGCCTCATCGCCGCCATTAAGTCCTCCCAGCACCCGATACTTCCATTAGACCCCTTTACCATCGACACCATAGGTATCACCCTACATATTTTACGGACACGAATCCAACGAGGACGGGTAAGTCATAACCCTACACATTCTCATTCTACCTCATCGAGAATAATACGAGATGAGGATCTAGGTATTCAGGGGTACGTCTTGTATTGTTTTAATACTTCGACTGGTCTGGGTCCCGGCGCAGGAAAGCCGCATCCTTAACCAGTATAATATTCCGAGAACCCGTAGCGCCCAGGCGGCGCATAGGTATATATCGAAAGGGGGGAACGTAATAATCTACCTTTGCATATCTCCCCCCTTCCGGGGGGCGCTGAGACTCCTGTCAGGTTACAGAAACTGCTGGCAAGGAGCAGGTGAGTCCAGCCCACCATAAACATTCTTTCTTATCGTGTCTGGCACAGCGACGTTATTTCACTTTACTCAACTTGGGAGGGTTGGGGAGTCATGACCCCGAACCCTCCGGGGAAATCTAACGCCCCTGATCATTATCAGAGCTGACGGGCCGTTGATCACGTTACGGCTGCGCTGCTGAAATGTGGCTAGGAGTCGCGAACCTAGCTCATGGCGACGGCGAGTCTTTTTACGGCCTGATCACCTACCTAGTATCTACTTGGCCACGTGGTAGTGGTTTATAGTAACAGTGCCATCGCTTCCCTCGGTGAATCTGGCCGGCTTGGCGAGGGAGTGCGGGCGGGCGCATAACGCCGTGACGAACAAATCCACGACACGGTCTTATCTACGGAGTCTCGAGGGCTCTCCCGGTGAAGGCGAAACGGGGACAATTAGGATGGATGGATTCTGGGAATTCCGCCTAATGTGACGAGAACGAATTTTTTTTTCACGATGATGAGGGAGGAGGGGAGGGAGCGGGAGATATTTCGAATTCCTTTTTTTGTTGTTGGTCTTTTGTCTTTGTTTTCTTCTTTTTTTTTTTTTTTTTTTTACAAAAAAACAAAACAAAAACAAAAACAAAACAGAACAGAACAGTTCTGGTATATTAGCCTGTGTTTCTTTATGAACATTTTTTATTTTAACTTCATGGTAACTATTTGTCCCGTGTGTCTTATGAGTAGGTGATACGCTCGGACTAATAGCATCACTTTTAAAGTTTTTGTTTTTCCGTTTTCTCTGGGACGTTGACTTGTTTGGCAGCTGATGGTGACATGCTATAGAATGCGTAGATGTATGGTATCCAAAGTGCTCGTCCGCATGATTCACTTTGATGGTGTGCGATGGGCTTTAATACCCCTTAAGTTTGAACCCCGACTGCTAATGCCTGGCTTGATTAAATATACTAGTGACGGCCGGTTGTCGTCCTTGGTAGTATATCGGGCCTCTACGCGACTTTACACAGACTAATGGGGCAATTGAGATTCTGTGAGAATATAATGCTCGGAGGGGATGTAGTTGTTTTTCAATTGGCTGTGCGAGAAGTGGAAGATGCCCACTTGTCGTGGTGTAGATGCGAAGGACACAGGCGGTGGTTGTGTTAGCGACGGTAGCAGCCTTTGCTGCTTAGCGAAGCACTTTCATGATTCTCATTCTATGGAGCTGCCTTTTCTTGGGCGATCGCAATTGCATGCGAAGCGAAGAGGAAAAAAATAGAAATGAGTAAATGGGTTCGGTGATTGATTGTGTTGGGACTCTCGGAGGTTAGGAGGCCAACAACGGATTGGAGCCGGAACCGTGATAGTCGGGCTTGTCGCGTAGACCGGTACAGTTCGCCTCTATGGCACAGGGGTAATGCGTGTCACTCGTACAGTTGCTAAAACTTGCGGTGTTATGACAAGATCCGCGGTTCGATTCCGCGTGGAGGCAACCTTTTTGTACTTTTCCCCCTTCGAGGGTTCGCGCTATTGTTCGGGTGTTCCACCTGTTGAACGGATGCGCTACCTCTAGATGTTCTTGTTTGAGGGCGCGCGGTGATTGAGCAGTAGGATCAGCACGTCGTTCTTTTTATTTTGACGAACGCCGGTCATATAATCTCGTATAGTGTCGAATGTACAGCCAGTACCGCACAAACCCGTGCTTCTTTTCAAGCTTTCCTATTAGTCTACACAAACGTAGTGGTTATACGTAAGGTCATTACGGTCGCCCTCGATGGCGATTACTAACCCAGGCACGTATGTTCCGGTGCTTTACGGGGCTCTAGATCTGCAACAATATGTCGTCGACCCGTATAGAATGCGGCGTAAGAAGGTTGTCAACCTTGTTAGGATACGCTGGGCCTGTTTGTCTTGTCGATGTCGAGAAGGTTCACCCTTGCACTGAGCCCGGGGATAATCGAAAACAGGAAAAGTATACAAGCTGTATCTTTTGCAATTCCTAGGCACCGCGAAGGTGACGTGAGGGTAGAGTAGAAAAGCGCCAGCAGAAGGCTCTGGTTTACTTCTGCAGTGAGAGTTGCAGTGAGAGTCGCATGGGAAGGCGGCTTTGCGTCAGGACCCTCTAACTCATAAGCTCATATAAAGCAAATGAAATGAAAACAGGGAACAGGTCGCGTGGAGGACAGGAATAGAATCTTTATCGTAGGTGTTGGTAGAGTTGGGGCGAAAAAATCCTATGAAGTGCTACCCATGGCGGGTTATCGTGTAGCATTGGGGCCGGTACAGCCATGTCGCCTCGTAAGTTTGACTGGCCGACTGGTCGAGATGCTTCTTCTACTTGGCCGGTTACGAATCACGATGCCCCCATGAACACACCCACATCTGCTAGCTATCTATCCTGCCATAACAGATACGACGTTGAAAATCCGGGGTTTGCTTGGGGAGTGTGTTTTCAGCCCTTCTCTTGAGCAATTTCAGCGAGCCGGAACCTGGGTTGGAGCCTACAATAGTACTTAGAAGCCTCTTCTCTCTTACATACGCTCGTATGAGCACAAAGAGTCGGGAGCACGAGGCTTCCGAGAGCTTTCTAGCTTGGTTTGTACCTGGTCAGACTTTGTGCTGAGCGAACCTCACTGCCGATGCCGTGCTCTTGCAAGATTGTGACTTTAGCATCCTAGAATAGTACGTTGTCTTGTGAGTATGGACGAGATTCTGGTGCATTCACCCTTTCATCTCGGACCTCGTTGATCGGAAGAGTCGCCATTGCTAAGTCTTCACGTTCTATAAGACGGATATAAGTTATCACGTGCGACCTGAGAAGCGACAAACCCGACGACTTTTCCCTGAAGAAAAGGATAAAGGGATCATCCCAGCCACAATGCATATCCCATAGCCCAAGCTTTTTATGAACGGGTTCTCTTTGGTACAACTCAGCAGGTCAGGTAACGCCGAACGTAGCGCCAGTATACGGTACACTCAAGCCAGAAAACCCCTGAAGATGAAGCCGTCACGCCATGCGACACAGTCCCAGGTCGAACTTGACCCGACCTGCTGGTAGCCATCCATTTACGGAATTCTCGATCGCGAAATCTTGCCTGTTGGGGACCAGATCCAGCAGTCAAGCGATACGCCGACGGGTTCCGGCAGAAGAGCTGGCCGGTAAGTAGCAAGACTTTGTTACTCCTCGTGTCCCTGAGTTTCTGCACGGCATTCGACGCCCGAGACACACATGTCTGAGGACAGTTGTGTGGTCTCGGGCCACCACAGGTGGTGCCGCACCGGAGGGCGAAAAAAAAACAAAAACAAAAAAAAAACAAAACAAAAAAAACGTGGAATCCAGGGCACAAGCTGCGCGTAACCTCCCGGACGCCCCTTTAACTCTCGACAATAAAAAAAAGATCTTACGATCGCACTACCTGGGCGTGTGGGGGGAATTAGGCCGTGAACCTGCTGTGTGCCATGGGACAAAGACTGGGCTTGTGGGAGCAATCAAGCAAGCCGCTCGCCTGAAAGCCGGGAGTGCTTCGCTAGCTCATACCCCTTAAGAAGCTAGAGAGGGATGGCGGAAACAAAAAGTCGTGTGCGACTCCTCTTTTTTTTTTTTTTTTTTCTTCTTTGGGCTGCTGGGCGTACAAACCAGTAGGACTGGATGTATCCTTGAGGAAGAACATTGCCGTTGACTCAAATCCGACTGGGAGTCAATGCCTGGGCCTCGGGTGAACGGCCCACAACCTCCAATTGAGGCTCTGGCATTTTGACACCTCGCCGACCCTGTCGTTCTGTCTTGCTTGCCTGCAAGGAGGCACTTGGGGCTTGTGCTGTGTGCGGGCATACTCGTGCCATATCTACTCGTCACCTGTTGCACACGCATTCCGCAAGCTGTCCCCGTCAATCCTGCATGTGTGATGTCCCATCCCATGTACGATGTCCCATGTACGATGTCCCATGTCTGGTGTTCCGTGTCCGATGTCCCACATGTCTCATGCTCATGTCTTATATCCATGTGAGAGGTCGAGTACGGTCGAGTCCAGAAAGGTGAAAAGCGACTCAAACACACAAATGAGATCTTCCATTCGACTCGAACACCTGGCGCGCGCTGGATGCCCCAGCAGAGCGAAATCTTGCCCAGCTGGACTCGTTCTCGTCGACACCCTTGGCATGTTCTGCGCTTCTATAAATAAACAGGCCCAGGCGGAATGAGATGACAGACCCCGGCTGTGCCCCCCCGGGCGTCAACTCCTGATATTCGAGCAGAGCGGGGATTACCGATCGATTCGAGGGTGAGCGCGCGTAGATAGATACCTAGATATATAGGCGATTGCGGATCCAAGGCCTGAGGATTTTTCAAAACGGCATCCGATACAGCCGAGCGGTAGGGATCTGCCGCCTACGTGTCTCGGGGGGAGAGCAGGCCACGAACGGGGTCATTTACGCCGTACACTGATGTTAGCAGGCCCGTTTTGTTTTGGCGCGAGTGCTCAGTAGGAATGCGATGATGGCGGCCTTCTTCGAGGCTAACGTAAGGTTCCCGGGCAACTGCCGGCTGACGGCCGTCCCTCCCGCCCCCCCTCCGCTCAGAGAGGGGATTCCCGTAAGCAGGCTGGCACTACGCTGGGGGGGTTAGTAGCAATGATAGGCAATGTCTATGGCGCGAAGACTCACGAGTGAATGGCCCATGTTGGAGCAGATGCGCGGCGTCTTTAAGACATGGGCTTATGATGATGACGCGCGCGGGGAAACGTGGCTGTTGCTAACCTGTGATCATACCTCATAATCCCGCTCCGGCTATATTGCTATGTATATTGATTACCGACGAACGAACGGCAGCTCTACGAATATTCCCATATACTATCTACGCAGGACATACTAATTATTTCAATAGCTATAGATGATAGATAGCTGCTAAGGGGGGCACAGCAGAGCTCACAGCCTTGAAACTCGGTAATTTATCATCTGGTGTACGGAATAAATTGTAGGCGCATTTCAGGATAAGGTAGACCGGTGTTGGCTGTTACGGACAGTTTTACTTGACTTGACTGACACAAGGCATGTCAGGGAGACGCTATCCCAGACTCCTAGGCTCTAGCATAGCTAGGCGATGTATTCCTCACATTCACACCGGTTAAGATAGTAGTAAGTAGCTACAAGTACGCTACTGGATAGATACTCCGTGTATCCCTCCGTACAGTCTCCGTACAGTTACCATACGGTAACGCGATGAACACCAGCCCGGTTCCGCTGTTGCCATTTGTCGCACGAAACGACCGCGGTTGCGCACGATGTCATGGCCTACCGACCTGCCTCTAGACTCTACCTAGGTAAGTTATTAGCTACCCACCGTATCTCGTCAATGGCTTGCTCACTTACGGGCTATGTTAGTGGGCAGAGAACTGGCTGAAACGTTGTTCGTCGGCCTTTCATCATCTAAGTGGTACTATGTTTGGCACTGTTAATCGATGCGTGCATTTCACGGCATGAGAGGTATGGGCTTTATCAAATTGTACTCAAAATAGTTTACCCACAAAGCCTTGTCGCTCGTTACGTCAGCGATCTGGGCCTAGAATCCAGACCACCTCAACTTGCGGGCGGATCTTCCAGCGTTCCCAAGTCGGCCGTTGCCCAGATTCTGTTAGGTATGCTGAGTTCACCGAAGCGCATGCCTACCTACCTAGTCAGGTCGCTAAAACCGACGCCCCCCCCCCCCCCCCCTCGAAATAGCCACCATAACGCCGCTCGGGTTTAATAGAAATAGAACGCCCGTCGGAGATTTACTACGTATCCTTAGGCTATTCTACCCGTGTAAATATGAGGTATTCCCGATGTATAAATGCCTGCGTTATTGCAGGAAGACTGGTGGCGGTGTTCATGGCCGATTACTTATCATTAACTTTATATAGCAAATTCGCGTGTAGAAACTTGTCGGGGACCCGAACATACCTGATAATCTCCTCACCATCTGTTATCAGTTTCGTTTCCCCCCCTCTGCCCATCATCACGGCGAAAAGAGGGTAATCAAAGGTGGGGTTCCCTACGTAGTAATGTAATCAATACGAACTCTCGGCGTAAAAAGTGGATTGTTAGTTCTCCTCTCCTCGGGGGGGTTCGTTTCGTGAAGCACGACTTTCAGGCTAAGCACGCTGGAAACGACAGCCGGCTTCACACGTGGTATGAAATGGCGAAACACATTAGCATACCGAATATGCACCATGTAATATCATCTGCGGCGGCCACGTCTTCTCGCCACATGAGCCTGAGCGGGGTGGTCGTGCTATAGGGCGTAGTTTCTTGCAGCGACCAACCAGCTCTCTGGGGTTGACACACACGCCTTCATGTGGACTACCTAGGTAGCTAGTAGGACTCGCGAAGAGTCGCGATACATAGTGTAGCTGTGGTGTTTGACTCGGGGACTCGAACTTATTACATATCGCCGTGTTGCCGTGTTGCCGACGGCCGTTCTGTAAACCGGGAGGACTCCAGATCACCCTGCCTACT